CGTCCGCCATTGCTCATAATTTGGCAATGAATAGTGTTATTTTTGCCAAATTATAGCAATGGTGCTCAATGTTCATTTGCTATTTTAGCAAATCTTAATCAACTTTTCCTCCAAATTTGTAGGGTGTTGTTATGGATATAGTTTTCTTGTGATTTATTTTTGTTTATTTTTTGTCTTTTGTGACGATTTTTTTACCTGTTTATTAAAATTAAAATATATATATATATATATATATTTATATTATTCCCAACTAGACAAATATAAAAAATTTAAAAAAAAATGAAACCTCACCGTCTAGTAATTAATTTTTTTATATTACTATTATTTATAAAAATATATATATATTTATATTACTATTATTCCCAACTAGTAATTAAATTTTTTTTTAAAATAAACCAAACAGAGTCCAACGGCTCTTTATTACACTGAGGCATCACCGTCTGCCTCCATACATCTAGAATGATCCATCCTCATCCCCTCCCTCTTCCTCTCCCTCTCACTCCTCACTCTCTCAGTCTGTCTCCCTCTCACTCTCTCACTCTCTGACTCTGTCTCCCTCTTCTGAAACCAGTCCTCATTCTCTTCCATGGTTGTTGATGTGGATCGGTCTCTCCCTTCTTTCCTCCATGATCGAAACATCTCTCACTCTCTCAGTCTGTCTCCCTCTCATTCGCTCACTCTCCCACTCTGTCTCCCTCTTCTGAAATCACACCCCCTTCTCCTCCATGATCGAAACCCCTCTGTGACTCTCTCACTCTCTCACATTCGGTCTCCTTCTCAGTCTCTCACTGTGTGATGTGGATCAAAACCCCCCTTCTGGTTGTTAATGTGGATCGGTGATCGTGGTTGTTGATGTGGATCGGTGATCGTGATCGGTGATCGAAACCCCTCCATGGTATTTTTTTTTCTTCAAATTTTCTTAATTATTCTTTGTGATCAATTTTTGTTCATCTGATTTTCATATCATATTTGTCTCAATTTCATTCATATTTGTCTCAATTTCTTCATATATGTGTCAATTTCATTCATATCTTGATGTTCATATCTGATTTTCTTCATATCTGACTGAGATTTGGTGATAAATGAATTAAAAAAAATAAAATTTGAGAAACTGAATTTGGGTTTGTCTCAATTTCATTCTGAAATTTATTTTCATCTCAA